CAATTGATTTTTAAAATATTGATAGTTTAGTTTTTCGAGCTGTAACACCGACATAAGAGCACGCAGTTAAGACTGGAAGTATTTGAGCTCAAAATCTGAATCTGAATCAGTCAGAAACTTCCCAGAAAGCATAAAATGGTTAATCGATCAGAAATCTTACGCCAAACCAGCATGACTCTACTGTGGAGCCGGATTTAAATCGAGTCCAACTCCAAGCCAGAGCCTCGTTAGCTTGTTGTCTGGTTTCTGATCGACTAATCGAATTTTTCTATCCGAGCTCATTCATACATCTTTAGGAACGCCTTGCCTACTAGCTTCGACCGTGATTCTAACTTTGACTGCCTTTGACCATCTTCTGCTACAATTCACATTTATTGAGTCACGAATCAATCTTCCAAAGTTCAATCATGCAGTCTTGATAAAATGGTCATGACTAGTAAGAATAATAACCTTAAAAGACGCAAATCTCCATTTCATCCAACCCTGTCCTCATCAAAGGGAATTGAAATGTTTGAAATTTTATTTTCAGCTCCAAAAAATTGTCATGAGGAATTTACAGAATCCCAATCCGATTTGTGACACGTTTAAAATATGTATATACATTTCAATAGAAAAAAATTCAATTCAACCAGCCACATCATCTCAATTTGCCGTGCCTATTCAGTCATAAAAAAAATCCCCTTTTCATCTTCATCTTTATTTCAATTCCTTCTTTTTCTATTTTTCTCAATTAATTCACGTCGATTTCAGATTCAATTAAGTACTTTAGTTTTAAATTAACTTTTAATTAAATTTGCTTATTATTCATTCTTGAATGCACGTTTAAAATAATTGGACGATGAATAATGATTGCATTTCAATGAATATAAAGAGACGATGAAGAAGTTGAAAATGAAGATAAACTTTCTATTTACTTGTTTGTTGAATTTTTCAACACTGAACTGACAGCGCTTTCAGTTGGAAGTTAATTAACTTTTTTAAGGACGTGGAATGTTAATTATTTAGAACACTTATTTATTCATAATTTATGAATGTATTTTAATAAGGAAGATGCTGTTTAATTTGTGAATGAGTGGCTTATGACGGTGCATTGTTGAGCTAGTGATCAAGAGACAAATGAGTTGGATCTGACGTCATCTTTTGACGTTCGAATCCAGCCATTTCCAAATTTGTTCTTTTTCGGAAGTTTAGATACTTCGACTGCTTAATGTACGTGATCAAGCCATAATTGGGCATTTGGGAAACGTTGAATTAAGGAACGGGTCAGGAAATTGAAGTGTAGCGGGAGAATTAGGAACGAGAGCTACAAGATTACCCACGAATGGAATATTGTTAGAACGGACCTGAAAAGTATCACGTCACGCCCACAGAAGATCGAAACGAGAGCCTTAGTTTATTTGAAACCTAGATATGAAGATTAGAAGTTTGATCCTACATAATACTAATTCATATGTATACATATACAAATACAAAAGTGTAAAATGTGAATTATTACCGGAAAGTATGTCGTCAATAAATGCAATAAAGTGCAATTAAAATAAAAAAAAAAAATTTATGACTGATGTTTTATTTTCAAGTTTAGGATCAGTAGCTTAAGATGCTCAAGTTTGAATCAGTTCCTTAAAAAATTCAAATTGCAGAAATAAAAAATCATTAAAATGTCAATAGTGGTCGATGTCTTAGAGTATTGGCCTTACTTGTTGAAGGTTATGTGTTCGATTCCTAGTCAAAATTAGTTGAAATCTTCATAAATGACAACAATTAAGATCCGTGTTTTTGGATCTTCCTTAAGTTGAGGAGTTGAGGATCTCAACTTCCTCAGAAAGTTGAGAAGACAGCGTTATAACCCTAAATCCAAACCAAACCCTTGAATTGATGCATTTCAAGCTCCAAAACCCCACTTTTAGCCAGCAGAATAATCATTTCCTCAATTTAAATCTATTTATCATCTGATGCATCTTTAAGAATGTCAAAAAGATTTTTCATCATTATAAATTAAGCTATCGACGCTGTTTTATAATTCAAGTTGTATAAAAAAAGACAAGACCTAGAAAAAGTACAGATTATAATATTCATTACGCAAAAAAAAGTATTCACTGATGCTAGACAAACTTTCAAGAGTGACAGAAGAAGCAAGAAAGAAGCGTAGAAGAAGACGAGAGATGCACAAGATTATGACAAAAGCAAATGAGAAAGTTATTGTTAAAAGAAGAGCGAGAAAAATTGTCAGCAAAAATTTTTCCTCTTTTATATGAATTAATGACAAAACTTCCGTTAAGAAGGATGAGCAAAAAAATTATAGTTTTTACTTGAAAGTTTTTCCGCATCGTTATAGTTGTGCATGTATGAATGTGATGTGTGACGAGATATTTTAATAAATTGAAAAGTTTTGAATTAGTTTGTATGAAAAATATGGGATTTTAATTGATTTTTTGGAGGTAATGGGAATGTGGAACTTTAGCTGTTCAGACCTTAAGATCCATAGCTGCGCGTTAAAAGGCTAATGATAGTTTAACAAGAGAGGGTTTGCCTGACCACTTAACTTAAACCAAAACTTATAGTTAAAGTGGGATTCGAACCATTCCTTTGATGACATGGAAGGCTGTAAGCTACATTTCCAGTATGTATGATTCGAACAAGGACATGCGAATATTTCCCACGTCGAGACTCGAACCCATGATCGCTGTGTCGGTTTTGTAATAATTTGGTCACAAAGAAATGAACCATTCAGTCACCAAGCCACTTTAGCTGCACCAAATGATGTGGTATATAGTAAAGGAGTATAATGCAGTCACTATTTGATTGTATATCCGTTTCTAACAAGAATATCTTAATAAACCATAAAAACATGGATGGAGAATTAATTATAAAATCGCGATTTGAATCAAAGTTATTTATTAAGTTAAAAAACGATTTAATAAGTTGCGTGAAGTCATTGCAAATCTCCAAATAAATAATAAAATCTTTCGTTTTATTTCCATAAGAATTCTGCAGTGGGCTGAAGCACATTCATCACTGAAAATTAAATATTTTTGTTCAACAATTTTCTTTCCAAAAAAATAATAATAATAATAATGATGAGAATAAGTGAAAATAAAGGAAAAGAAGAGAAAAAAAAAACATTTTTTTCAACTATTTATACACAGCTGATCGTTTTGAGGCAATATGGTTTGTTTATCACTTTTTAAAATATTTTTTTCTTTTCACTTTTTTTTGGGAAAATTGTTTTTTGAATTTCATACACTTTGGGTTGATTGAAATTTAAAATTTTTAAATTGATCAGCAAAAGTCAATAAATTTGAAAATAATCAATAAATCTGTTGAAATTTATCAAATTTATTAAATTTTAAATTTAAAAAAAAAAACATTTTTAACGCATTTTTGAGAACTTGTTTTCTTTTTTTAACGAGACACTGTAGAGAGCTCGGATTTGTTTTCTTAACTCAGTTCCATCGTTTTATTGCAGCATTAGGCGTTTAGAAACCTTAGAACTACGATTTTAAACCATAAATTATGATATTTTGATTTCAATAGAGTGCAACCTGTCGAAATTTTTTTCCCATAGAGTGTAACCTGGCAAAATTTTATCGACAACCTCTTTAATTTCAAATTTCTAAAATCCATTAAAATTTGAATTTTAAATACCGTTAACTGTAATTTTACAACAAATTCATTAGGGGCTGTTCACTTATGACGTCCATAGGGGGGAGGGGGCAGCAAAAAAAGAACAATAGAAATTCCTGGAAATCCATTGTTTTTTTTTGAAAAATGACCGTTAATTTTGGACGTCATAAGTGAACGACCCCTTAGAATTATTGTCAAACAACATACATCATTTCTAAAATATAGCTGTTAATGAAGGGATCAGATGCTTAATGTTCTTCTTGATTCGGATTAACTTGCTGCATTAAAAATGCGCTGAATTCACTCTTTGTAGCATGAGGACTTTTGTAAATTTTTAAGTGCATTTTCTTTAAGAAACAATTTACTTTAAGGTCCACTTCGACTGACCGCCTGGCTGCTTGAGCATAAGTCATGTTCAGAACCAAAGAATAGGTTCCAATAAGATACAAATCACATCGACAATACAAATAATCGAATTCAAAAAAAATCATGAAACGGTTCTGTGAAGTTTAAATTCATCCAATATGAGGAACATGAATGAACTGATATACACGAGGAAAATGCATTTATTTCGTTTGTTCAAATCTATTACGGCGACTTCTTTACTCGTTTTCAACTATTTATACACAGCTGATTGTTTTGAGGCAATATGGTTTGTTTATCATTTTTTAAATATTTTTTTCTCGACGCTTTTTTGAGAATTTTTCTTTTTCAAATTTTGTACACTTTGGGTTTCATTTTTAGAATTTAAAAAAGCTAAGGGGCCGTTCAATTAGGACGTCCAAAATAAACGGTCATTTTTCAAAAGAAAGCAATGGAATTCCAGGAACTTATATTGTTTTTTTCTTGCTGACCCCCCCCCCTCCCCCACCTTAGACGTCATAAGTGAACGGTCCCTAATAAATCTGTTGAAATTCAATAAATTTTGGGTTTTCTGGTGCTGTCATGTACTAATATCATCCACAAATCAGTAGAAAGTCAGTACGGGGCCGTTCACTTATGACGTCCGGGAGGGGGGGGGGGGGGGGGTCATCAAAAAAAACAATAGAAATTCTTGGAAATCTATTGCTCTTTATTGAAAAATGACCGTTAATTTTGGACGTAATAAGTAAACGACCCTAACATCACGAAGAAAACTCAAAAATATTCAAAAATTGATAAAATGTTAAAAATTCACTTTTTCACTTCGAAAGTTATCTTTTAAGAATTATTACAATTTAAAGTCACGATAATCCGTTACCACAAGCCATGCGTTTCATTTTCACTTCTATATCCCAACGATATTTCAAACTTCTCATTTCAAATTTACGTACTTAGCCGATATGCGTTTGAGGAGAAAAAAAAAAAAATTAAGAGGATTTAGTTGCGCTAAAACACTCAAACTTTACAGTCGATAGTAGCATTCATAGACAAACAAAAAAAGAACCAACCAAATAAATATCGGTAGTGGGAAAGTCTTTATCGTTATCAATATTACAATACACACTGTTTACCTTCAATATCTGTAGTGAGTTGCTACTGATAAAGTATACACAACATGTATTACTGATAAATAAATTGAGAAAATAATCAGTTTGTGAATATAATGACATAAATTTGTTCAGTTGAGTCGGAATATTTATATATTTTATACATACTTCGCAAATTATTAGTTTTTTGGCCAAAAATAAAAAAGAATTTTTAAAAAAATCGACACGCGCTGTGTGGAAAGAAAACTAATCAATTAACATGTGAAGCATAAATTACTTAATTTATGATCAACGGCTTCGAATTTCGCTGACGGCTGTTGAATAATTAATTAATTAAAAATAAGGAACTCAGAGTTGTATCAAAAAAAATAAAAAAATATATCCAATATTTAGTTGAGTGAAAGTTTGTGGAAAATTCCCAAAACAATGTGCTGATTGAAGTGAACAAAAAGCAACGTCCATAAATCCAAGGGATTCTATAGCTTAAATTTTACGAAAAGAAAAGAAAAAAAAATATTTGTTTCAAGTTCAAACAAACGCACTCGATAACTCGATAATTAATGTAATCAACACTTAATTAAAATAATCAGTTTACACATACAGCACGCCAAGCAAGCTAGCCTCCCAAGCGTCTTTACACTGTATGAAGAAATGAGAGGAATTCTTTTAATAGAAAAAACAAATAAATTAGGAATTAATTATATTTTAAAAACCATTAATTTTTATTGAAACATACTTTGCGCTCTTTTTCGTTCTGTGAGGATTTTTTTTTTGTTTATACTTTTCTCTTTAATTAATTAATACTGAATTGAAGAGAGTGAACGAGCGGTTTCAAACTGAGATAGCACATATGGAAAAATTTAGTTTAAGTAATGTCTGGTGAGTCTTTTTCGGCATTTTAAGTTTTTTTTTCTTTTCGTTTTTTTTTCCAAAACATTTCAATTTTTAGTGGAACGAACAAAAATGCTGACTAATTTATGATGCAATTGCTCTCTTTCTATTTCCATATTCTCTGAAACATTTTATTTGTAAATGTTGATTATAGAAACTGTCACATTAATCATCATGTTGAGTTTATTTTATACAATTGTTGCGCTTGAGAATCACGATTTTGAGCTTGTGAAGCTAGTTAAACGTCAGAATGAAGATATCACTTTACATTGCAGTCTATCGGAAAATCACGAGGTAAGCAAGTTTAAAATTGACTGATGCGATCCGATTATGTCCGAATTGTGAATGCAGTATGACATCATGGGGGAGTTTGAAGAGCATTTTAATGACTTGCAATCAACCGTTGTGTTCTTTGATTATTTTGATTTAAAGTTACGATGCCGTGTTGTCTGTTGATTCTTATTCATACCCTGTAAGTGATCATATTGCTTCAAACAAGGGTGCGGTACTGATAAAATGATCAAAATTTATCAAAAATGATCGAAATTTATTAAAAGTGATCAAAAATTAATTTATCATTCCTGCACTCTTAGTTTCAAATCTGGTGTAGAGTTCAGTATCGATTAGGTCAACCCGTGTGTCATTTAAGAAATTGGAATAATCAAAGAACCGTATGCTGTATGCGGTTGTGGTCATGGCTTGTGCTGAGGCACAAAAAAGGTTGGCGTAGAAATGGGTAGAACAGTGGTTCTCAAACTGTGTGTCGCGGTACACTGGTGTGTCACGAAAAAATTTGATTTCTAAAATTGACCATTTATTTTCATGTTTTATTCATGTACGGTCATGGTGATCATTTAGTGTTTCACGAGACCAGGCGCGTAACCAGGGGGGGATTTGGGGGACAAATCCCCCAACGTGAACAGAAATTTCTTTATTCCGCTAGGGGTTTTATGAAAAAATCACAAAAATACCCCCCCCCCCCCCCCCCCCCCTCCCACTTAAATTTTTCCATACAAAAAAATATTTTGTCCCCTCCTTCAAATTCCTGGCTGCGCCTCAGTGCGAGACTATTCAGGTGTGCCGCGACAATTTTTATGTTAAAAGAATGTGCCGTGGATCAAAAAAGTTTGAGAAATTCTGGCGTAGACAAACCTTTAACTTTTCATTAAGTTGATCTTAGTTCTGCTTCTAATTACGATTAGAATCTAGTTGATTAATAAATCACAGATTAAAATCCTTAGACTAGATAAGGCTTGCGACAAGCCTTAAGTAAGCTGCTTAAACAAGATAATCTTGTTATAATCTTGCAGTAAACGCTAATTTCCATTTGTGAAACAATTCCCGACTGCACATCTGATATCAAACTTATTTTAATTTTTGTCACGAATTAAAGTTTTACGATCGGTAATAAAATAGAAACAAATGGTTATTTATTAACTTGAAGTAGTGACATTGTTCAAGCGAATCGTTATTAACAATAATAATTAATATTCTTACAATAATGGAACTAGCTTTTGTCGTTAAATTAGTTTCACGACTTTAGCTTCATAATTTATTAAGTTGCTAAAAAGTCATTGAATGACTGTTCTTATTCGGTTGTATCTAGTTTCAACTTTCAATGCTCTTTACTTAACTCGTTAAATAGCAGTGGCGTTTTGGCTTGATCAAGGTTAATTCCGCCCAAATAAAAACTTGACCACACAGATTTGGACATTTAAAACATACATTTGATGATTTACATCCAACAAAAATTTTACACAAATAATAAATTCATCTGTAAACCCCATGTCGTCTTCACAGCAAGTCATGCACAAGCAAGTCAAGATTTACGTAAAAAATAAATCACTGATTTTCAACCTTCAATTTTTAGGAATTCAACAAAAATACATCAGTTAATTGGTACTACTTAAGGACATGTAAATATTGTGCATTTAATTCACTAAATCCTAGAAAAGAAGAGTGGCAGCAAGTAGATTGTAATGGATCATGTAAAATTAGATTAACATTAGACAACTCAAATGCATCTGAAGGATTCTACAAGTGCAAAATATTTCCATATCATACAAACTATCGGACGGTGTTACAGATTGAAATTACTAAAGTTTTTCAAATAGAACTAGCTGGTAAGGCATGATTATTTACTTGAGTAGTGCCTTGTAAGTTTAATTTTGAATATTCTATAGAAAACTCAAACAATGGACTTCCAGAGATTCTCGATACACAAAATAAATTCAAAGTTGTACACAACTCACAGACAGTCCTACAATGTAAATGCAGGAGTAATAAACAGAAGCCTACAATAAAATGGTTCAGACAGAAGTCAACTCAGAGCGATGACAACGATGAAGATAGTTCAATAACTTATATTGAGAGTCGACGAGCTATAAAGTATTTTGAAAATTTTTATCAGCCTATTACGTCATCGGGACTGAAAGAACTAGATGATCACATGTATTTAAGTAAATTAATTATTAATAATATTACAGAAGATTCAATTTATGTTTGTGTAGCTATAAATTATTTTGGATTTGTATATAAAGACTTTTTAATTAATATCGAACGTATTGATATTGATGAGGAAGATAGTGACTATGAAAGTAATGATAACAGTAATAATTTTGATATGAGTCACAATCATGACGATAAATCCTTTGAACTATTTCTCATTCCTTTGTTGCTACTTGTAGTTGTGATTATACAAATATCAACAATTATTTATTTAATGATTTATCGCAGTATTATGAAGGAGACAAATAAACATTTTGTGTGAAATTCTATTGACATTTTATTCCTTAATTTCCACTTACGTAGAAAGTCAATAAGGGATCGTTCACTTATGACGTCCGAAAATAACGGTCATTTTTCAACAGAGAACAATGGATTTCCAGGAATTTCTATTGCTCTTTTCTTGCTGACCCCCCTCCCCCTGGACGTCATAAGTGAACGGCCCTTAACTATAAAGCTAGCAAATATAGGGAGGATTAAAATAAATCTTTCGGATTAAAATAAATTCAATCGATTTAATTTTTATGAGTGTCATATTTACTCAGGGAATAATATTTTTTTCAATTTAAGCCGTTAAAAAAGCTAGTTTTAGGGGCTCCTCTGGATCGAGACTAGCACCAAATATAATGATTTTTGGTATCAATCAACTCCTAAGGAGATGTTTAATGCAGAAGTTAATATGTAAGCCTATATGTGAGTGAAAATTCCCAGAACAATGCATTCAAACACCTAGACTTATAGTTTACAGTGCTATCCTTTGGCATTACTGCATGTACCTCACAAAGGAAGGCTGTCAACTTCATTTCCAGTTCATATGATTCGAAAAAGAACAGCAAATAAAATTTTCCATGTCGAGTCTCGAACCCATTATCACTGTGTCGATATCGTAACAATTAGATACCGAAGTACTAAACCATTCCACCACCGAGCCACTTCAGCTCACCTCGCATACACAAAATAATCCCCTTCTCTTTAATTTTGAACTTTATAATGTTGGTCACTGTTTTTTATTTTTATTTCAACTGTTAATTTAAATTACATACAAGACTCGAAACTTAATGGATGTAGCTACAATATATTTTTTAATTGTCATCATTATGGTCGTTGCCATTCTCAGTTAATTCATGATCATTGCCATTTATATCATGTCCATTCTCATTATTATGATAACCATTTGTAGCAGTTCCATTTTCGTGATGTCCATTAATTCCGTTTATTGATACAGGCTCCTCTGTTGAGTGCTCCATATGTGTCTCTGTATCCGTGCCATCATCCTCGTGTTTCTTTTTGTGACCCTTTGACTTTTTAGGCTTATCATGTCCATCATTATCTAGAGCCTTGATTCGTTTCTGTGTCTCTTCGTTTATCATCGAGAAGAAGTCTTTGTCGGCTGTTTCGATGAGTGCTGGAAGGTTAGAAATGAAGTTTAGGGTTTTTATGATTGAGGAAGTGCTAAATTTGACATAGATTGTAATTAAGAGGAAGTTGAAAGGAGTTTAAACTCTATTGACTTAATGTTGACACCACATCTAACATTGGCACAGATATGATCTCGCTAGACACTAGATAGACCTAGCCAGACCTAAATAGACCTTGACAGACCTAAATTGACCTAAATAGACTAAGATTTCCTATAAGAATTGACTCTGAACCTATAACAATCAAACTTTTGAGCAAAGTGAATGCAATAGCAATGCATGACTCATAGACATATCTCAAAATTGACCGAAAGTTCTACCTAAATCCACCCAAACCACATTATTCACAAAGACAATGTCTATGGCACAATAAAAGCATCTCCTTACGGGAAAATAACCATTATGATAAGATATTTTATAACCGTACGAATAAACTAGATAAAGTCATGTCTATGTTCACCGATTGCTCTCTAAGGAACATGAGATTCAATCTTCTACATAATGCCCATAAATCCTCAATAATAACAACAACAGCAGCAACATTAACACACCATAATAATCTGCAATGTAATAAATTAAATCAAACCTTGAACTAATTCCGGCTTGATCTTGGGTAAGTCATCTTGTACTTTATTCTCCTCAGGCGGCATTTCAGCTTGCAATTGCAATAAATCTGAAACTTTTGCATCTTGCAACTCGACTTGCTTCTTCAGCTTTATTTTTATTTCACGCAATTTTCCTTCGAGAATTTTTTCACGTTTGCTTTCACGATCGAGCATCTAATTTTTGTTTTCCATCGTTCAGGAGGTTGGTAGCATAAAAAAAGAAAGAAAAAAGGTTGAATCTATGCACAGCAGAGAGCTCCTTTCTTTAATGAAGCATCATAATAAATGTGGAGGACTATAAATCGACAGGAAATCGCAAATGCTTGCGAATAATAATAAAAAATGGGGAAATTTTACTCACAGCATTTAATATCGCTTTATCATTTTTTGCACTGAAACTCATGTTCTCTGAAACTTCCATTAAATGAACGAATCCGCTTGCGCTACCACATGCTATCATTTTGCCTGATTCGTGGGGCTTCAGGCAAGTTATGGCATGATCAGAAACCTTAAAAAAAAAGAAAGATAGAAAAGGAAATGACAGGAAATGAGTAAAATGAAGGAAGTATTTCTACATCATTGTGCATCGTCATTCACACTGTGTATGGACATTCTACTTTATTATTGCATTCAAACTTTAAATGTAGTGCTGGCTGACCATTGAAATACTTTTCGGTTCATATACACACGAAATCATTGCTACACATTAGTATTATTCATTCACAGTTATGGACATGGATGAGGAATTGCATATTATCTAAGGAAGTGGGTTATTAAGTTGGGGGATGATTAAGTTGAAGATGGTGTAGGCGCATTTTGAGGCTTTGATGGGATTTGACTTCAGATTATTAAGTCCCAACTCAATTTGATACTTAAATTCATACCTGGATATGAATGAAGTAGCTTTGACTTCACCATTTCTTAACTTCATAAGTCACAGATACTTCTGAAAGAGCAGATAAATCATGAAACCTTTCCCTATTAACCTAATTCGCTCGAAAACCTCACAACGTCGTTATTACCCATTGCAAGCTAATCACTCAACTATTAAATCAATTGGTCACTCAGCCAGTCATGAGATTCAATTAAACATTAAGGCATTCACACCATATACACAATGAATTCACAATCAGACCAGCTTTTATGCAAAATGCTCGACGACTAAAAAATGCACAATGAACAATTAGAAGCACAGACACCGAAAAAAAAGGAAATGACATAGAAAAGGAACCTTAATAGTCAAGATTGGCTCGCTCTGCTGCTGCAATAAATCCCATGCTTCCACATTACCATCCATACGACTAAGATAGAATAATGAACATTTTGTTGGCGACCAACAGCCATCAGTAAGCTCAACATTACAATATTTTGTCCAGATAATAGAACTCTCTTTACAATCTTCCGACCAGATGCGAGCATTCCAATCACCGACTGTGAGGAAATTTTTGAAGAACGATGGATTGCGGGCTAACGTGTAGATGGGACTAGCATGACATTGCATCTGAAATGAAAAATGAAGATGTTTTTCCTTTTTTAATGTGTGCTGGTCTACGACTCATGCTGATGCCGATTAAAATTTGTATCTCGGAGGAAATATGAGAAGGAAGAAGAAGAATGAGAGAGCCTTTCAATGACTAATTTTACATTCAATTCGTGTGTCTCATAGAATGTCTCCCACAATGCAAATTCTGCTTTTTTTATAGAGTCAGGACGTATCGAATTATGTCATTTTGTCATTTTAATCTACGACAAATGAACTTTTGTCACGAAATGTTGCGTTTTTCCTTCCGTTTCTGCTCTGTTGCACTGATTCTGTTTATGATAACGATGTGCAATAAACAAGATTTTTGTCATTACAAAAAATATAGCTTACAGCACTGAACTGATGAGACATGCAAATGTCATGATTACCATTTCTGTTAATCAGCTTTAGGATTTGATTATTTTTTGGAATTTTTTTTTTATTGTCGACTAGAGTGCTGTTTCTGCTGTGTAGGACATGATTGACATGTAGGAGAAGGGGCATTGCTTATTATTTTGAAAAATTCTTACCATTACCTTATGTTGCTATGCTATAAAGTTTCATTGGGTAGATAATATTCATCTAATGCTTACCGACATGGACTTAACTTCAAGGACAATTAAGTTTAGGAATCAAACCCTGAGTACCTTGCTTTTTAATGCGCTAAGGTGCATCCGAGAGCCATCTCATCACAAACTGCGTCTATAACACTCTTTGCTATATCCACTTTTCATACCAAATCCCACAAGCTCGTTTCAAATGTCTGTGGGATTTCTCAATGGATCTTAAAACAATTGTCATGGAATATCTCAAACAAATTTTCTATTCAAAAGATCTCATTTAAGTAAGTCGTAGTATCATTAAGATGTATATCTCTCGTGTCTTCTTCTTCCTTCTTTTTTTTTTCATCATCATGATAATATCAGTCGCTTACCCGCAAAGTGATTTTCTCCATGGGTGTCTTTCCTTTACGATTGCAAAAGAACAGCATGCCTTGCTCAGATCCAACCATAAAACGAGTTGGTATTGTTGTTTCATATTCAAGAACAGAAATGCCATAAGAGCGCTCGAGAAATTGTTCATCGGATTTTACAGGATCCATATACAGTAAATCTAATCTTTCAGAAAACTTTCTCGTATCCCACCATATGACTTGACCATCGGAACCGCCCGAAAAGCACTCATTTCCAGTTTTACTGTTAATCCATAGGACAGAATTAACACTTTCACGATGACATATTTCACGCGGTGTACTAGCCACACAATATGGTCCAGCGCGTGTATCGAATGTACAGCATTGTCCATTCTGTTGTCCACTAACCAAAATATTTGTATCCTTTTGATGATACTCAATGCACGTTGATGGACTCGTTGGCGAGATTGTATAAAGTGGTCGATTAGGGTTCTCTGTCTCCCATATGTACGAGTTGAATGATACACGACCGAATGCATATTTCTGAAAGTTTGTATCACAATATGTAATGGCTAGTTTACTACCTCCATCTCCAGACCATGATAAATGGCTAATTGGACGCTACAAATAAAAAAAGAATCAGAATGTAGAGTTGAATAATTGGATGCAAGGAGCTTCATCATGAAGATACGAAAAATAAGAACAAAATTGGAAGTGCTCATTAAAAATGTAAAATTGTAAATATTTATGTTAATCCTGGGCGGGATTATTAACTGATTAATTATTCAAGGCATTCGACATTTTAAAAACTTTTTTTTAATTATTCTTGCAAAAAGTTAAAGCTTGGAATTGTTGACAAAATTGAATGGCATGTAGATGTGGAAGTTAATGCTGTGATTAGTGTAAACAGGTACTTGAAGGAGAAGAAGTCAATACCGTAATTTGTAGTTTTGGGAGGGATGTTATTGTGGTTGTTGGAATTAATTATGGTTTAATGCTGAAAAATATGGAAGTTTATGGTTTAGAATCTGGGAGTCAGGTATGTGACATAGCGCAGCAATGGCTTGTACAATATACAACGTACTGGTTGTGTTGACCAAAACACATTTTGGTCAGACCCAGAACTCATACAAAATCGATGAAAATCTTGAGCCGACTTCGAGCTCTGGTCAGACCAGCTCCCCAGTAACACAAGAGTTCTATTTTAAAGCTTCTCAAAATTCAGAGCTCCAACGGAGTCCTTGAAAAATGAAGTCTAATTTTAAGGTTGGATTGAAGTCTGAAGCTTTGAAATTCCCGAATGCCACAAGTCGATTAATCGATCAGAAGCTGGTGTGACTCTGGCATGATGCTGGATTTAAATCAAAGCCAGCACTATGCGAGAGTCTGGCTGATATTCGATTAACCGACTTGTGTTATTCGGGTTGAACAAATTGCAATTCCCCCGATGACTACCGTCCGATTTCACTTCTTTCTTGTCTTGGAAAATGCTTTGAAAGAATTTTATTGACGCGTTTAAATTAGGGTTCGCCCACATGCGCATGCATGCGCATCCATGTGCATGCATACGCATGTCAATTTGGCGAACCCTAGTTTAAATAAATTTGAGGTTGACAACAACATCATGATTAAGCAGCAGTGTGGATTTAGATCCAATCATTCAACAGTCCATCAAATTTTAAGGATTTTCAAGAAAATCTCGTTTGGTTTTAACCAAAATAAAAGCACATCTGCCACTGTAGATTCAAAAATTAGAATCTGTAAATCATTCATCAGACCAATTCTGACTTATGCATATCCAATTTTCGCAAATGCTGCATTCTGTCATCTCAACAAGCTGCAACTCTTCCAAAACAAAACTATTCGCATGATCCTGAATGTCAATTGGTCTGACTTTAAAACAATAAGCGATGTGAGTCGCTATGATTCACTGAGTTTTCGAGTAAAACACAAATTACCGAAGCCTCGTCAGTAAATACATGTATATTATTATTATTATACAAGGGTCAGACACTCCAAAGTATTGTACGGTATTGTACAATACTTACAATACTTCTCATATAAATTTACAATACTTCACAATACTTACAATACTGAAATTTAACTATTCAGGAAGCAAAGTTTTAAAGAAATTAAGTATTTTTTTGTGTTTTGAGCATTTTTTGTATGCAAATAACATGGTTTTTGATAAATATTGAAAGTGAAATAAATTTTATTTTTAAATTTACGCAATTTATTGGAAATTAGCATTAAAAGTTTAGAATTTTCTGGTGAAATTGGTGTAGATTTTAATTTTTTTGCCTTATTTTTTAAAATTGGCTAATAAAGTTCACATTTTTCATGCAGTACACAAATGAAATGTTTAAATGGAAACATTAATTTGAAGATTTAAATTCTTGTTAAAGGTAAACATTGAATTTGTTTTTTAAATTGACTTAGTTGCAAATAATTCTATGTTCAAAATATGGTTTGAAGCTTGATCAAGCTTAAATCATTATGATTTAGTGGTTTGGAGGCAGTTTAGGCAATCACGAAACTTAATTTTCATCAGGTACGAAAAGAAACGGTCAGTTCCTGCAAAATTTTTTTGACTTCAAGAGGTGATTGCCTTGAAAGACATTTAAGTGTTTAAAAGCATTGAAAGCAGGTAGTTCCACATATGCAGTAAGATCCAGACATGCTTGATGAAGTCCAGATATTTATATGCAAGCAGCAAGGCACAGAAGATTAAAAATCACGAATTGGATTTCGTTTAAGTCAAACAGCATGGAACCATTGGTTGCTGTAACCTTTATTTAAGAAATGTTTGGATCTAAAAGATCCAGTTGCAAGATTCTGGCCGAAAAAGGATCTACTGCATTCTTACTTATGAGGAACTGCAACTGAAAACTGTTGATTTGAAAAATAATTTGAGAAATTGCATACAAAAATTTTATTTTGAGGGATTTTAAAATCCCAATAAAAATCTTTCATACAAGAGATTTAAATCAAAATCCAAAAGAAAAATCCCCATACAAAATGAATTTAAATCAAAATCGAGAAAAAAATCACTTGGGTAAAATGTTGGGATATGCACATATTCACACATTTCCGCACATATCTCATGTGTGCACATATTTTCAAAACACACCAGATTCTGTTTTTATCCACCCAGGTTGATTTTTCTAAATATTGACTTTTTTTTGTAGATTATAAACAATTCTAAGTAAAACTTGAAAACATTTAATAAAACAATTAATAATTTTGTATTTTAAACAGTCAAAAAATGGAAAAAAAGCAAGAAAAACTTAAAAATCTTTAGTTAAAATCAAATTTATATTCTTTTAGAAATCTCAAAGTGTCCTGTAAAAATTACAATACTTATAATACTTTCCATACAAGTATTGTAAGTATTGTAGGTATTGTACAATACTTACAATACTTTCATATGTATTGTAAAGTATTGTAAAATACTGTACAATACTTTTGGAGTGTCTGACGCTTGTTATTATATATATTTTTTTGTTTTAATTGGTCTTTTTGAAAAAAAAAATTTTTGACCAAAACTCAAATTTTCAAAGCTTAAATCATGTCATATCACTAATCATATCTCAGTATAAAATTTGATTTAAAACCGACGAGGTTATAATAATAATCCTTTATATAATTAATGATATACGTCGGAACAAACTGAATTTATCTTGATGTTAACCTCGTCGGTTTTAAATCAAATGTAAAAATGAAATGTGATTATTGATATGACATGAGTTAAGTTTGAACTATTGAGATGCGGTCAAAAAAAAAAAATTAGCAAAAAGACCAAAAAAAAATATAATAATAAAAAACTTAATTAAATACAAAAAAAAAGAAAATTAGATATTAATGACGAGGCTTCGGCAATTTATGTTTTGCTCGGAAGCTCAATGAATTATAACTGTATTGGCCAAGTGATGAAATTAAGTCATTTGAATGGTGTGTAACTTTTGAGTAGAAATTGTCGGTAAGACGAGATATGAAATCTGACATTAGAGGAGTATTGGCAGTCTTGTGAATTTCATTAACTGTTCTGAAATCCGACCAATTGACATTGAGAATCATTCGAATAATTTTGTTTTGGAACAACTGAAGTTTCTTAAGATGACAGGCTGCTGCATTGGAAAATATTGGACATGCATAAGTCAGGATAGGTCTAATGAACGATTTATAAATTCTAATTTTTGAATCGACAGGAGCTGATGACTTCCTGCTCAAAAGACAGTAGAGACTTGAAAAGCTTGCAGCACTGGCTTTTTGAATTGAACGGTCAATGTGATCTTTAAATGTCAATTTCTGATCAAGGATAACGCCTAAATATTTCACCGACTCCTTCCAGTTGCCGACGAGGTTAATATCAAAAAAAACTATATTTTTGTTCCGACATATTTCATGCATTCAAATAAAGGATTACTATTATTATTATTGTTCGGGTTGACCTCCATGGGAAGACATAAAGATGAGCGGGGGTGTAAAAATTAAGCTTTTGTGTTCCTTTAAAGCTAACGGCTTTACTATGGATTACCGATACTTATAAACTAACTCCTTATACTTTCTATGTGTCACTCAGTCCTGCTTCTTTCATTTTTTTTACCTTCCATAATTAATTAGTTCTTAAAGGTATCAGGACATAAAGTTTGACGTAAGCTTTCTGAATAATTTTTTGGTTCCAAGTTTCAAAGTTGCAAAAAAAAAAGAAAATTTTAAGGAAATTATGGCAAAATTACATGATATCGTGCAAATTATGAGAATGATAAATTATGTCAATTTGATGCCATTTATGTCATTTTAAGTTATTTCTCAACGTTCCGTGACATGCTAGAAAATATGAAACGAGCTATTATGATGTGATAAATTCGGTAGTTTTTTTAAGTTTGAATTTTAAGAACGGAAGACGAATGAATTAAGTTTTTGAGGTTGTTGGGATGTTTAATTGACGCTTTTAAGGGATTTTTTAATTGCAGGGGTGACGCAAGAGTTAGAATTCGAATGTTATAGCGTGTATCAAGTTAAGATTCGTCTCCTATGGGGTCATTCAATTATGACGTCCAAAATTAACGGTCATTTTTCAAAAAAGAACAATGGATTTCCAGGAATTTCTATTGTTCTTCTCTTGCTGACCCCCCCCCCCCCCCCCCCCTGGACGTCATAATTGAACGGCCCCTATCCTGAATAGCCCCAAAACATAGCGAATCTTAAGCCTTATCACAACATTAATATTTAATTTAATAAAATCAACAAATAATGCATAAATATCCCATTTTAAAATACATCAAGCACAAAAACAATAATCAGTAAGGCATGAAATATTCACAAACATTTTAAAATTTAATATTATCAAAAGGAGCAAAATGTAAATTATTTGAATACTTATAAGCAGTCTCAATCATGTTTATATCATAAACCACTTTATATTATGTTAATTGTCATGTTATTTTCATGAGTGCGTATATCGATTGCTTCCTTGCTGTATGCTTGTGAAAACAAGTCATTAATATTGATAATAGCATAAAGATAGAGAGAAATGCCACAAGATAAATTAAACAGCCTCAAGAATATACATAAATGGAAAATTGAGAATCAAAATGAGCAGTTAATTTATTTACTCACCGGAGTCTCCTCGACATCCTTGTAAACATACATCGTACGAGAATGACATCGATCGATGATTGGTGCTGGATCCAGATCCGAGAAGTATTCTTCGTAGATATTTACAGAATTATTTTGGAGAATGCAGAACTCTACTTTCTGGATGGGAAATTGGATAATTGGATATGATTACTTTTGGATGTAGATATATATGATGGTTGAGACTCAGAGTTGGAAGTTTGTGATACCTTGAGGGTATCCAGGGAGAGTTCAGAAAGGTTCAGACCTCCTCAAGAGTGAGACTATGACTTGGTTTAAGAAATTAACTGTCAAGTACGAAAGAAATCGTTCAAGCTTAAGTATGAATATGTTTTCAGGATGCGTACCTTTTGTAAGAACAAGCTGAATTTTAAGAGAATCAAACTTATAACCTCAAATCTGACTACTTAGAGATCACTGCTGATTGTTCATCTACTGAATTGACCTTGCTTTGTCTACTCTACACTTTAATGAGCCATACAAACATACATACATCTCTGGCTTTACAGATCAGTTGTGATCCATAGCCTTCCTAAATGAGCCATAGTCTTGGAAATATGAAGAAAAACAGCACAAGGCTGGCTGGTTTCATTCCTAATCGAGCTGCATACTCTACTAGAACTTATCGATTTCCAACCCTGAACTTACCTCAATCCTACAACTTACCTCTCCCATCCGTGGAACCTGAGTAATGTAAGTCTCATCCTTCTCCAACTTCCTACGATACCGCAATGTCTGTTCACTGTCTAAATAGTTAACATCTTTTGGCCATCCACCTTCAGTGTGCAAAATTCCTCGATTTTCTGTTGTCGTAGAGACTGTGTTGACTTCACTAAGTGAAAATTGTTTGCCCAATTGTGTTCCCTCGGATACAGGATTCTTCAGTATGTAGCTATTAAAGTCGTCATAATTTGATGGAATTGACACCATAAGATATTTCTTGTCAGCAAATTGACATTGTCGACCGAATTCCTTTCGCTCCTTTTGATAGACATATTGAAGATCTGTCATTATATAGGCGTGTGGATCAAAAAATTCCGAATATTTTTGATTGATAAACTTTTTCACTTCTTTTTTTATTATTTTGTCTTGGTCGACAAAAATTCTTTTGAAGTTTGAATGAAAAAAAATAAATATAAATCACAAAGATGACTTTGATTGCTTTTTTATCTTCGTTTTTCTATAAATTCTTTACATTTAAAGAAATAAAATATAATGAGAAATAAAAAGAGATTCACAATGATACACACAAAAGTTGTGGAATGGAATGACTCTCTGTGCTATGTCAGGGAGAAGTAAATTGGCTTCGATTAATCAAACAACACAAAAAATAACAAGAAAATGTGAAAAATGAAAATTACTATAGTAACGATGAGGTTTGAGAGGGAAAAAATAACAGATTTTTTTTTTTATGCTCTATTCAGTCTCACATGTGATGCATGTTTGAAGTCCCTGTGGTTGGATATTCTTTGTTTATATCATAATGAAGGATTGAAAGTTTTATAGATTGAACGAAAATTTGTTCAGAGTTTTTAAAATTTTGCAACGAAAATTTTGAATTTTGACCTTTAACGAATTTAATTTGAATTTTTAACACACATTTTTTGAAATTTGAACTTCAACTGACTTTTTTGAACTTTAACGGATTTTATTTAAATTTTTTCTACAATTTTTTTTGAAATTTGAACTTAAACTGAACTTTTTTGAATTATAACGGATTTTATTTGAACTATAAACACATTTTTTTAAATATTGACCTTCAACGGACTTTTTGAACTTTAACGGATTTTATTTGAAGTTTTAATAGAAACTTTTTGAATTTTGAACCTCAACGGAATTTTAATGAACGTTTAAACAATTTTTGAACTTTAACGGGTTTTATTTGAAGTTTTTAACACAAACATTTTTTGAATTTTGAACTTGGACTTTTTTGAATTATAATTGAATTATAATTTGAATATTGAACTTTAACAGATTTTTTTGAATGTCAACGTATTTCATTTGAACCTTTAACAGAAACTTTTTGAATTTAGAACTTCAACGAAATGTTTCCAACCAACAAACGTCATAGTTTTCAGCATATCTATCCATACCAGCAACAAATCAGCATAAAACTTTTTCTTTCCCATTTTCTCCTTGCCATACCCAACAAAGTGCTATAAAATATTTTTTATTTGACAACATAAATAAAAAGAAAATTTTTATCAACTTTCTACAAAGAAGAAGAAGAAGACGTCGAAAAGCTACAGATCGATAAAATGCGATGGAATCAATGTTGTCAATGTCATTCATACTTCCGCTAATGTTACTAATAATAAATTTCAAGCGCATAATGACAAAATATTGAAATTTGAGGAACAGCGTGTTGGAATGTTTTTTGATTGGATTTAGTAAGCAAGGAAACTGTTGTGACTTATTTATATTTAATGTGGATCGTGAACCATGGCAACGCAGGAATATATTGGAATTTAAGGCATATGAATGCCCTGTAGACCCAGAAATGAGTTACTCATTAAAAATTCCGATATTTTAATGATCAAATATTTGCTTTTAATTCCTGCAAAAACTTTTAATTCATCAATTTACGTCGCTGCAATGTCAACAGCATCCATCGTAAGTTAATTGATGATAATGCAGCAATAACTTTTTTTTTATTCAGTTCCTTTCCCGTCAATTATATATTTTATAATTCTGATGAGTTCAACTTTTTTTACTTTATTGAATTATTTTATTTTTTACTTTATTGAGATAAAAATAATTTATTTTTTTGTCAACTTTGTCAACATTTCAGTCAGAAAATGGATGCGAGAAAATTATTAAAAATTAATTTCCACGTTAATGAGTCGTAATTAATTCATTGCAGTATTTTCTGCATGAAATATTGAATTATTTTTATATTTCCTTTATGCAGTCATTCACACATGATCGATAATGAAAGAACGAGAGGATGACAACTTTTGATGGCTGTATTAAAGCTGTGACTCGTTATTTTCAGATATTCGACAGTTTGCCAATTAGGAATTGAAATAATGAATAAAATATCGGACAAAAATTATTTGAAAAATAACGGTCGAAAAAAGTTTGAAAAATAACGGACGAAAATTATTTGAAAAAAAACGGTCAAAAATTATTTGAAAAAGGTCAAAAAATACGTTTAATCACCAAAGACCGGCATTACCTTTAAGGGGCCGTTCACTTATTACGCTACGCAAAAAAACGACTTTTTTCACCCCCCCTCCCCCCTTACAATATGTTACAACTCACAACCCCCCCCCCCCCCCCCTGAACGTTCATAATTTATTTTATCATTAAAAAGGTGGAAAATTTAAAAAATATTTTTGGTGTGAATTTGCAAACAATTTTTTTCGTGAACTTTTTTTTAAAAGACAGACGACAGTTAGAACGCTACATACTTCTTGACCCCCCCTCCCTATGTTACCTTTTGTTACAATTTTTCAAACCCTTCCCTCCCCCATAAAATGCGAACGTAATAAGTGAACAGCCCCTAAACAGACTCCTCAATCCCCTCCCCAGTCGTCAGTTCCTTACAAATTAATTCCAAGTTTATAAATGAATTAATTTCAATATAACCAAATTAAAGCACAAACACAACCAAAACATTCAAAAACTAAAGACATAAAATTCGTGCATAATAATTAAGCAGAACAGAACTTCCATAGCTTAAGGTCATGATTTAGAAATGGAAATTTTGCTTCATAAGTTCATAATTAATATAAACAATAACATTTTTTTGCTTTTATGCACACATAAAATCTATGAATTTTTAATATTAAGGCACTCGTCATTCACTCAGTTGCTTTCAAATTGCCAAGCTGAACAACAGCTTCGTTCTCTACGAATAAAAGTGCTTTCGGATAAAAGCTGTAAAACTTTTTATAGCTATTTACATTTTTTTTTATTATTTGTCTAACAAAGAGAGGAAATTACAAGCAATCATGATTACAATCCCGGAGTTTTATAGCAACCGAGATATTTTCATAACTGGTGGATCAGGTCAGACGATGAAGTTGAATATTTTAATTGTTTGAATGAACTGATGTGGATGTAGGAATGTTTGTGGAATTTAATAATGTAGATTTTGTTGTTTGTTGCGATCAGGGATGTGAGGTGTGTCCTTCATGGTCAAGTCTATGACTCTTTGAGACACAACCCTGTCAATAATGCTGCACAATCACCAAACCATCTTCCATTCTCTTAAAAAATTCACAGGTTTTGTTGGAAAAGTCTTAATTGAAAAACTACTCCGTTCATGTTCTGGATTACGAAATATTTACATTTTGATGAGAACAAAGCGATCGAAAACAATAGATGAGAGGCTGGAAGAAATAAAAAACATGGCTGTAAGTACCTTTTTAAAGCTATGAGGGTGTTTATTATGTTGTGAAGTGCAATTCGCATTAAAGTCCTTTAATACATTGCCAATTGCCTTGTTTAACAACACCATCATTAATAGAGCTACTTAAAATCCTGCAAAGCACTAAAAACAGCACCAAATACAATTTCAACTCGACATAATTGAACAGCGTGCTAGCAATTTACTCAAACTTTAATGCTGTAACCTCTAGAAGTAAAAAAAAAGTTCATCCATCATTCCTTAATTCATTCATCACCGAGCAAGTTTCAATCTGTACTTTTCTATTCTTATTCCATTTTGTAAATCGACAATCAATCAAATAGCAAGCAGAAGCATGAACAAGGCAATTAGAGACGAGTGAAACTTTCCATTTTTTTTGCTATCTTCATTAATTTATTTTCATCTTTTACTACTTGCTCGATTTCTAGCTGTTCAGTGGATTAATGGAAACGAATCCAAAAGTTTTTAATAAACTCGTACCAATCGAAGGTGATGTGACTGTCGTTGGCCTCGGAATAACAGATGAATCACGTGCATTACTCAAGGATATTTCAGTTATTTTTCATTCAGCAGCGTCCGTACGTTTTGATGAAAATTATAAGACTGCAATCATATTAAATACTAAGGGAACGCACGAAGTCATTGAATTTGCCCTCACGCTCAAGAACTTGGTATCGTTCGTGCACGTCTCAACGACTTATTGTTATCCGGATCATCATTTTATCGATGAAAAGGTAGGGAACTGAATTGGAAGCTTTTCATGTCAATTTTTTTTACTGCCATGTCATTTTTACAGCTCTATCCGGTGCCCGGTGACTGGCAGACGACAATTAAGATAGTGGAAAATGTTGATGATGAGTTATTGGAGTGCTTTATGCCAATTTACAATAACTTCAAACCAAATTCATATGTCTATGCTAAAGCATTATCTGAGCATGTCTGTGAAAGCTATAAAAATAAAATTCCAATTACCATTGTTCGTCCATCTATCGTTGTCGGAACTGAAATGGAACCGATTGGAGGATGGAATGACAATTTTAATGGACCAGGTATGAATTCATTTTAGGTCGAGAAAAAGGTTTGTTTTTTACAAAAAAGCTCTGATTTGTTCAAAAAGCATTGAATATTCAATAAGTTCTGACTGATCAAAATCTTGAGTTGTTCAAAAATCTTTGACCGATCAAAATCTTGAGTTGTTCTAAAAGCTCTGAGTTGTTCAAAAAGCTCTGACTGGTCAAAATCTTGAGTTGTTCAAAAAGCTTTGACTGATCAAAATATTGAGTTGTTCTAAAAGCTCTGAGTTGTTCAAAAAGCTCTGACTGGTCAAAATCTTGAGTTGTTCAAAAAGCTTTGAGTTGTTCAAAAAGCTCAAAATGATTTAAATCGTGAGCTGTTCAACAAGCACCGAATTGTTCAAAAAGCTCTAAACTTTCAAAAATCTATGATTTGTTAAATAAGCTTTAAACTGTTCTATAAGCTCTTACTGGACTAATTAAAGTCTTGAGATTGTTCAAAACAAAAAAACTCTGATCCATGCCATTCAAAAGCATGACCAGCTCTCATTCTCTTATCCCCAACTGAAAATTCTCATAACTATAAAAATCAATATTTCGATTAACAACAGTCACGCTGCGATGGCCAACGCAACAATTTTACATTCTTTTATGATTTTTCTCTCATTCTTTTATATCCTACCGCACAATATCTAGTTGGTCTTCTAACAGCCTGCGGACTAGGCATTATGCGAACGATGTATGCATCCAACAAAGCTCTATTGAATTGCGTTGCTGTCGATGTTGTTGGAAAAACTTTAATTGTTGTGGGATGGAAAAATGCAATAGACAATGGTGTACAGTCTGCTGTGACATTAGGGGAAAGTGCAAAAGTGGAAGTTAATAAAAATTGTGGACAATTGCAGGTCTACAATTGTGCATCGACACATAATATGGATCTAGAATTGTTGGTGTATGATGGCCAATATAGTATTAGAAAATATCCGTTTGAAAAATGTGTTTATTTGCCAGGCGGTGGAGTTACATTATGTAAAGTCATGAATTATTTTCGGGTGAGTTTGATGCAAGGATGTAGTCAGGGCTGCCTACTCAATCCACTGCTTTTTAAATTCTCCATTTATTTACAGATCGTTTGCTTCCAACTCGTACCAGCTGCGCTCATTGACCAAGCTTTGACATTAAAAGGAAAGAAAGCAATGTAATTGCAAATGCAGCCTGTTTTTTCCCCACATTGCAAGTTATTCATTATTCATTGTAATTTTACATTTGCAGGCTGATGTCGCTTCAGAGAAAAATTGCGGCTGCAAGTGTTGCATTGAAGAATTTTGTGTTCACAAAATGGAAGTTTGGGACGGAAAACTTTAAGAATTTGAATAAGATTGTTTTGAGTGATGACTTGTAAGTATGGATTTTATTTTTAAGGAAAGGGATGAAGAGGTTTAAAGTCATTTATATCTGGTTTTGCCATTTGGAAATCAAAGATTCTGTGACTGAGTGGGAACATACCGAATGTATTTGACCTTCTCATTTTAGTTAAGTTGTGGGTTTGAGTCCCAAGAGAAAAAAATAAAATTTGCTACCTTTATCTCCCTTTCCTTACCCTATGCTAACAGAACTAAGATCAGAGGATGTAGAAACTTATCAACACACTCCTCACAATTTCATATGTCATTCAAGAATTTCAAATGTCTTCAATTTCATCTTAACAACTCATAATCCTTCCTTATTTCACCTGAAACATATTTTATCAATTTCAAATATTTCAGACAAGACTTCTGTATGGATAGGAAAGTGAAGAACAACCGAGAGTATTACGAAATACAAATTCTAGGTAAATGAATGAACGAATTTATAACAAACTTAATTCTACATTTGAAATGAAACAAAGAGTATCATGAGAAGATGACATGATAGGGTCGTGCGTATGTTACGTAACTAGAGCTCGAAGTCAACAGAGCTCAGAAACTACGCCTTTTAAAATCGACAAAAATCTAGAGTCGACTTCAAGCTCTGACACAAAAACTGACACTGCTGGATCTTTATGGATGTCCAAATTTTCAAAAAGTGTTTATTATGCGGCCACGTAACATTCAAACACACCCCAAGAAGAGAGAAAAGAAAATGAAATTATGACAAAAGTCGTGATGATTTATGCACATTGGGGGTCCTCAACTTCAATCATTTAATTTTATTTCAGGGAATTCAAATTGTTCATTTAAAATAATGATTCAAGTCAAGGACCCCCATTCAAAATGAAACAAAAGGCTCTGCTTTGAAGTTTATTTCATTCACTCAATTTTCATGATTTATTTATTTTCTCTCATGAATTTATTATTTGGCAATATGTATGCAGCATGTCATATTATTGTTATTAAAAAGATTCCTTTTTCCTCTTATTCAATTTTTATTTGACAATTCGGGACAACCAAAAAAAGGCGCTCGGAGATATCTCATGAAGGAGCCTGATTCATCGATTCCAGCATGTCGTCGAAGGATTTATCTACTTTTAATATTTGACATTTTCTTTCGTATTCTGCTGTTTGGATACATCTTTTATTTGTTGGGGAAAAAGATCAATTTGTTTGACAACAAAATTCCCTTTTTTGAATATCGCAACGATACAATTGCTCAAAGAATTTAATTTAATAACCTCGAGAAATTTGAATTTTTTATTGTATTTTGTAGATTTGGACCTTTTTATTTTGGTTCCATTTAAAATTTTCTGTTTATGCTGAATAAAAAAGGAAAAATTATGCGAAAAGTTGATTATTATTTGTTTTTTTTGTTCATTCTACAAAAGCTACTTATTTTGCTATATTATCTGTAGATTAGGCTCCCAGTTTGCCCAACAATTTGATGACAATTAATTTTTCTGTCAGATTGCTATCAATTTGTGTCAAATTGCTATCAATTTTCTGTAAGACTGCTATCGATTTGCTGTCAGATTGCTATCAATTTGCTATCAATTTGTGTCAAATTGCTATCAATTTGCTGTCAGATTGCTATCAATTTGCTGTCAGATTGCTATCAATTTGCTGTCAGATTGCTATCAATTCGATGTCAAACTGCTGTCAGATTTCTATCAGTCTGCTTTAGTTTGCTGTCAGTTTGCTTTTGTTTGCTGTCAGTCTCGGTGTGTTTGCTGTCAGTCTGGTTAAGTTTCGAATTGCTGTCAGTTTGCTGTCAATTAACTGTCAATTTTCACTCAATTCAGTGTCAGGCTCAGTGGTTTAGGATCTATTAACTTACAAATGCGCCCTAAACTGATCACATCTACACCATGAATGCTTCTCAGCAAGTAAACAACAAACTTTTCTGTCAACAAATCATAGTCAGTAAAACCAAAAAGGATATGGTCTATTTAATTTTTCAGGCATAAAGTTGTACAAATTTATTTTGGAGTGCACGTATTGAATTTTATTCTTGTCAATTTCATTTCCGGGAGCTCATTAGGATCCATTTGATATCTTGAATGAAAGATGTTTTTGTTTACATTTTCTTACGAATCTTGTTTTGGAACTTTGATTGCGTACAATAAAAACTTTGCGTACGGATCAATTTAATTTGATTGGAGACAAATTAAGCATATTTAATATTTGCTTAGGATGCAATTAATGAAGAATATTAGAAAAAGAAAGACGTGTTCTGAGGAGTATCCAGTTTTTTGGGGGAAGAGGGGGGGGGGGTGGTGTGAGGATCGGTAGACTAATGCAATAGATAACCTTTAAACCTTGAACGCCTTTTTTGCTCAAAGCTATATCAATTGACTACTCAATGACTACCTTAAGTTTTTCTGACTACGACACGTCCATGCCTTGAAGCAAAAACGACAAGACATTCAACATAAATAAGCAATTACATGTAAAATTTGACATTTGTTTAATGAAAAATTTCTAAATTTAAAATTCTGCAGAACTGCTTTTGTGCATATTTTTAATGTCATTTCATTACAATTCATTGAGGTCGTTCATAAGTGATGTCTGAAAATGCGAAAAATAAATTTTTTTTTTAAAATTGTTTTAAAAGAAAAATGGAAATTAGGGGGGAGGGGGGGGATGGGGGGATCTTAAATAGGGATATATCCATTTTTTTAAGTGAGGAAGTTAACATATTCGTCCTAAAACAAACCCAAGCCAATTGAAGAAATTTTCGATAGACATCATTTATGAACGACCCATCAAATATTTCTTCAGTAAATTTCAAATGAGAAAAATATTCGAAGAAAAAAAAATGAAAATTAACTCAATTTAACTTTCAAAAGATTCTCATTTCAAAAAATTCAAGCATCAGCAGTTGCACAAAAATTCTCAATTTCAGAAGCACAAAAAGAAAATTCCATTTTTAGCACGAAACATGCACAGCAGAGCATCCATTAAAATAGTTTTTTTACGAGCATCTCATACCAGCGATTTTTTATTCAACATGTCAGTTTTGAAAGTAAATCCGCTAATGGAATGTTCAGCACTCAAAAAAAATGGAAACAATGGAATGTCAAAGATACGTATGAGATGGAACATCTAGAGCAGTAATTGATGATACTTTTCTTTCACATATTTTTTGTGTGCTTTTCTCTCATGCAATACAATTTCTCCCTTTTTTTTGAGTCTTCAAACGACCGCAACGAAGATGATGAAAAAGTTTTTCATTCTTCTTGGGGCTCTTGTGCATTCACATATTCAGCAATACATTTATATGTGATGTAAAAGTTGGAATAAATGTTTCCCTGGTGATATTTTTTGATTATTTCTTTCTTTTGTATATGTTGTGTTCTGTTCTGTTCTGTTGTGCCTTTTCATATTCTCATTCCTTACCATTTACAATTTTTTATTTGACTTTTGTGTGTGTATGTAAAAATATCAGTCGTGTATATAATCCAATTTTATAAGTCAATTGGGATAATGCTGGGTTGTATAGGTGCGTGTTGTGTGCTGTACTCTGACATATTAATAGAAAGGACATGACAAAGTTTTGAAAGTTTTTTATAACATGAGTAATAGGTTATGTATAGGTTATTTATAGGTTAGGTATAGGTTAAGTATAGGTTAGGTATAGGTTAGGTAAGGTATAGGTTAGGTTAGGTATAGGTAAGGTATAGGTAAGGTATAGGTTAGGTAAGGTATAGGTTAGGTAAGGTATAGGTAAGGTATAGGTTAGGTATAGGTTAGGTAAGGTATAGGTTAGGTTAGGTATAGGTAAGGTATAGGTTAGGTAAGGTATAGGTTAGGTAAGGTATAGGTTAGGTTAGGTATAGGTAAGGTATAGGTAAGGTATAGGTTAGGTAAGGTATAGGTTAGGTAAGGTATAGGTAAGGTATAGGTTAGGTATAGGTTAGGTATAGGTTATGTATAGGTTATGTATAGGTTATGTATAGGTTATGTATAGGTTATGTATAGGTTAGGTATAGGTTATGTATAGGTTATGTATAGGTTAGGTTTAAGTTAGGTTTAGGTTAGGTATAGACTAGTTTTAGGTTATGTATAGGTTATGTATAGGTTATGTTTAGGTTATGTATAGGTTATGTATAGGTTAGGTATAGGTAAGGTATAGGTTAGGTATAGGTTAGGTATAGGTTAGGTATAGGTTAGGTATAGGTAAGGTATAGGTTTGGTATAGGTTAGGTTTAGGTTAGGTATAGGTTAGATATAGGTTAGGTATAGGTTATGTAAAGGTTAGGTATAGATTGGGTATAGGTTAGGTTTAGGTTAGATTAAGGTAAGGTTAAGGTTAGGTTTAGGTTAGGTTTAGTTTAGGTATAGATAGAAGCAATTGACCAGATCTCATGATTTATTCCTATACGTTTTATATAATTTTGAAATATTTAAAAAAACTTCCAAACAAAATTAATAGCAAAAAATGTTTAATGAAATTTTATTAATCATCATCTATGAAACAAGAGTGTGGAGCTAACAGCAGGTCATTTATGACAATAATGTCCACATTTTCAATAATGTACAGAAAATTCAATTATCTCCCATGAATTGCAGAAAAAAAGCCACAAAACTTTCTAATTTATTATACGGTCTCGGTGCTCCATAGTTCATGTAATTCTATTGGGGGTGTGTATATGAATGATTCTTCGCGATATTGTCGTAAGTCCATTAGCAACTTTGAAAATCCGTAGTAAATCAATACTGCTTAATAAGTACTATAATATATATATCGTTGGAAAGGTCTTTCAATATACTTTTTACCGTCGCCATTTTTGGAATTTTTGAAACGGTTTTATCGGTTCTATATCGGTTCAAAGTCACTCAAAAATGAATGTCTAATAACTTTTGAACGAAATTAGCTTTATTAAAAATTCTTTTTGATTTTAATAGCCTACATAAAAGCTCATAGCTTTTTGATAGTTTCAATTTTTTTCCATGTAGGTTACATCATTTTAAACGCCCCCAAAGTTGAAACTTTAAACAATCATAACTCTTAATCTGTAAAAGATTAAAATATGAAACCTTTACCAAAATATTTCTAATTTTATCTAGATTAATCTGCATAATCAAAAAATGGGGTCCATTTATAAATTACGTCACATTTTCGAAAAAACATAATTCTTTAAAACTAATTTATTTTTTTTATGTTAATAAATTCAAAATCAATAAAAATTATTTGAATATTTAAAATCTAAGTGAAAATACCTTTAAAATGATGTATAACATGAGTGGGGTTTGTTCATAAATAAGGTCACTTTTTTTTTTTTAAATTTTTCATACTTTTTCAACAGATTTTATTTTAAAAAGCTTCCTCACTGCACTTTTTGACTTGTTATTCACTTTGTTTCTTCATTTGCCAGACATTTTTATAAATTTATTGAAGAAAAAATTCTTATTTTCTCACCTTTTCTCAAAAACTTGCTTCTCATTTTTTTTTAAAAAATAAAGTTCGTTAAAATTTAAAAAAAAACGTTATGAAAAAACCACAAAATATACTGTTTCTGTTTAAAAAGAACATTTTTAAAATAAAATCTGTTGAAAAAGTATGAAAAATTTAAAAAAAAAGTGACCTTATTTATGAACAAACCCCACTCATGTTATACATCATTTTAAAGGTATTTTCACGTAGATTTTAAATATTCAAATAATTTTTATTGATTTTGAATTTATTAACATAAAAAAAATAAATTAGTTTTAAAGAATTATGTTTTTTCGAAAATGTGACGTAATTTATAAATGGACCCCATTTTTTGATTATGCAGATTAATCTAGATAAAATTAGAAATATTTTGGTAAAGGTTTCATATTTTAATCTTTTACAGATTAAGAGTTATGATTGTTTAAAGTTTCAACTTTGGGGGCGTTTAAAATGATGTAACCTACATGGAAAAAAATTGAAACTATCAAAAAGCTATGAGCTTTTATGTAGGCTATTAAAATCAAAAAGAATTTTTAATAAAGCTAATTTCGTTCAAAAGTTATTAGACATTCATTTTTGAGTGACTTTGAACCGATATAGAACCGATAAAACCGTTTCAAAAATTCCAAAAATGGCGACGGTAAAAAGTATATTGAAAGACCTTTCCAACGATATATATATTATAGTACTTATTAAGCAGTATTGATTTACTACGGATTTTCAAAGTTGCTAATGGACTTACGACAATATCGCGAAGAATCATTCATATGCTCTTAAATTATATTTTTCAGTACCAAGATAAAAAAAATTGTTAATTAAATATTTCTCATCTCTTCCTCCTTCTTTTATGTGAAGCTTTTTTGAGTGAGCATCGCGAGAGTAAACACTTGTGCGATGCTATTCGATAACT